TAACACATTCTGTAAAATTGTTGAAGTGCGTAAGGTTCCAGACTTTTCGGACAGCATATCTAACACATTCTGTAAAATTGTTGAAGTGCGTAAGGTTCCAGACTTTTCGGACAGCGTGTGGAACACATTCTGTAAAATTCGTTGAAGTGTGTATGGTTCCAGACTTTTCGGACAGCGTGTGGAACACATTCTGTAAAATTCGTTGAAGTGTGTATGGTTCCAGACTTTTCGGACAGCGTGTGGAACACATTCTGTAAAATTTGTTGAAGTGGCTATGGTTCAAGACTATTGTGTATTGTGGCTCCTCTGTAAACTGGTGATTTAGTTAGAAGTTATTCCAGAGGAAGACTTTACAAATAAATTTTTAAACAGTATTAGGCTAATTATTAAAAATTAAGATATAATCTGAGCGTTTTGAAGTAGTTTCCAAATAAACATTTTAATACTGTTTGGTAGTATGCTCGAAAAAATAAAACTCAATCGTTTTACATGTTTCCTAATTGGATCTTATTTACCAAAACTCTTAAAAATTAATGAAATAGGTGGCTAGTCATGATAAACTGAGATAAAGAAAGTCCGCGAATGATGAATTAGTCCACCAGGACAACACTTGAAGTTATTGCTGGGAATAGTAGGCAAACACTAAGTACCTTTTTTTTTATAAAACCTTCAATTTCTGGACGTCCTCCCATTAGGACTATTTCCTTGCTTGTTTGTTTGTACATAATGTCACATAATGGGCTATATGTGCTGTGCCCAACACGAGTATCGAAACCCGATATTTAACGTTATAAGTCCGTAGACTTACGCTGAGCCACTGCGGGGCGGTACTGTTTGCATAGACCAGTTAATTAACGTGATATACCTAGCTAACGGAGAAGATATTGTCTGATAAATCAATTTGTTTGATGGATAAATTGAGCTTAAATCAATCAGTATTCTCTTATTTCACTTTCTATTCAAATAATAATGGGGAATGATTACACTGCCACCATATGTGCAATGAGCATAATTATCGTGTTTGTAGTAAAGCACAAAACTACACTATGTGCTATCTGTGATCTACCCGCTGCGGGTATCAAAACCCGATTTATTGCGCTATAAGCATGTAAATTATATATATATATACATATTTATTACTGAGCTACTTTAACTTACGTGTGTTCATATTAACTATTTCAGAGGGTAGAAATGAAACTCAGTAATTTCGTTTCTTTAACATTAAGTTGCCAACAACTAACATAGTTTTAGCCCTCCAGTGGCACAGCGGTATGTCTGCGGATTTACAACGCTAGAATCCCGGTTTCGATACCCGTGGTGGGCAGAGCACAGTTAGCCAATTGTGTAGCTTAATTACAAAACAAAAACATAGTTTTAATTTTTTTTTCTTCACAATCAATTCTGAAAATTGTAAGCTTATAAGACAAAATTCAGTGCGTAAAGACAAATTTACAACATTTAATTACGATCATTAAATAAAACTATATTTTATAAAAAGAAAAAAAGTTGGGTATAAAGAAGAGGACGCAGTTCCATTTTTTCCACACTAAATATTATACTTATTTTTACAATTTTCAACTAACTGCTAACCCAATAACTTCTTTCTCAAAAAAAGGCTTAGATACCTTTTTACTGTTCAAGCCATGTGGTCATGATTAACTTAAAACCGTAAGGAGACATTCAAATTCTTAAGCTGTGTTGTTACAGTTCAGATTGAAATTTGAAAAGGATGTTGTTTAGACTTACTTGAAAATACGGTAAGTAAATCTGAGGTATTTGAATATCCGCTTAACCACCTGACAAGTGCAGAAAAGATAACAGTCGTAGTGAAGATTCTTGCATACAAAGCACAAATAACTTACACAACCGATTATCTCGACTCAAAGAACTTGAGAAAAGTTTGGTAGCAGTTATCTTCCAAAATTAGTTAAACGAATCGCTTCTGAAACCATCACCAGTAACAGGAAACAAAAATATGCCTTATCCATTGAGGGGAAAACATTAAGGCGAGCTTTTAATAGTTTAAACATAGAATCAGCAATACTTAAGAAACATACTTTACAAACCTAAAATGTTCGATACCCAGAGACAGACAGAGAAAACTACCATGCCAGAGACATAATCAGAATGCCTTTTGTAATATTGTACTTTACAAGTCAATGTAACAAATAGTTCCTCAACCCCGATCATACTCTTGGTTATGGGCATAAAAACATATTCATGCTCAACACCTTAACCTCCACTGTTACAAGCTTCTGTGAAGGACTGAGGTGTTCATCGTAACGTACTCTCCACCGAACACGGTCATCAACTTCCAAAACAACGTTAAACAGACCAAAATCACAAATTGGACTGAGCTGCAGAAGGGGGCGTGACTTTACAGTGTGTGTGGTTTAATGGGATTATATTGATTTCTGTGCCTTCGGCCATGTTTCTCACTAAAACCTAAAACAGCCGTTGATTTTGAGACGTGGCTGGAAGATTATGAACTTTTGGTTTGC